CGTGGATTGTGCATAGATAAAAGTTAGGCTATTGGAAGAAGAGTTTTTTTTATTTGTAATTTTAAAAGAGGGTGAAAAGTGACTATATTAGCTTATGCTTGGTGTGATGAAGGTTGGAAGCTACTTCTTCTTTGTTTTTCTTTCTCTTTTACTTTTTTTCTTTTATTTTCCCTGCACTTTCTGAACATTTCTTTTACTTTTCTTTTTCTTTCTAGTTTAGTTTATATTAGTTTTTACTATGTTTACTAAAAACTTCAATGAAATTATTTTAAAAAATAAATCCCAGGAGGTTAGTCATAAATAACCATACATTAATATAAAAATATGCATCTGTGCAAACTATATTTCATGCTTTTTTTTTCCTTTCTGCAAAATGGAAGACTTTCATAATTAAACTATTCTTGGTTTTAGAACTAGGCAATTGATCCTGAGCCATACCTGGGCATATTCTTTCCTTATACTCTTCCCATCTCCATGATAAACATACACAGCCCCTCGATGATCATCTTCTAGAGGAGCACCTATGACTATATCATTAAAACCATCAAGATTGAGATCCTTTACTGGAGCAATTGATGTCCCAAAACGAGCTCCACAAGGTTCATTTTTGTTGTGATTTGTGCAGTCCTTCTCTTTCTGTAGCAAACAGCAAGTCTGCTTTATAGGCTCAAGTGTCATCTGATATTCAAAGGTTTTCTGTTAAGGAAGAAATAATGATCAACAAGGTCCATTTAATTAGTATTACAGATTCTCTTGATAGCCTAGACATGCAATCAGATGATTTTTAGGCTCTCAGCTGAATCCCCAATCTATATGATTTTTTCCCCAATCATTACCTTGTTCAAAGAATAAATGTACACCTTGCCTTGTTCTTCTTTCTCAGTCCCCATGTACATAGGTGCTCCCACCAAAAGAAGATCTGTATATGTATCTTTGTCAATATCAATTGTTGTGATAACACTTCCATAATATGATCCAATCTGTAATTTAAAAAATAGCATCCCACTGATAAATGTTAATGTATAACAACATTAGCATTACCTAAGCCACAGGTCTTCAAACATTATGGTACCATGACCCTGAAAGTATTTTTTGTGATTCCCCCACCAGTGAATAAATCTAATGATTTCATTGGGATTAAGATTGGGTAAGAATATAACACTTTTAAGTCTGTCTGTCTATCTATCTATCACAAGTATAGAACTTTGCAAGTTTATAAAACATTCTAATTGAAAATAAAACAATCCAATTTAAAGCATCTCTCTTTTTTCAGTGGCAAGGGTGAGATTACATAGTTCTGCATAGTTCCTGAAATCTTGGTTTTACTTTTGAGGGAGGGAGCCACTCCCAATTCTTGTTCCACATTTGATTTTGGATCTTTAGTGCAAACATACTACACAACTATGGGTGTCACTTCACCCTGGGCACAGAGAGAACTGCTCCTGTCTGTGCTCCTGCACTCTGAAGATGCCGGTCACAGGTGCTGGCGAAACGTTAGGAAACAAGACTTCAAGACCCCGGCCACACAGCCCGGAAGCCCCCCACCAGCCATCGTATGCCGGCCGTGAAAGCCTTCGAGTGAGATTACATAGTTCTGCATAGTTCCTGAAATCTTGGTTTTACTTTTGAGGGAGGGAGCCACTCCCAATTCTTGTTCCACATTTGATTTTGGATCTTTAGTGCAAACATACTACACAACTATGGGTGTCACGTCACCCTGGGCACAGAGAGAACTGCTCCTGTCTGTGCTCCTGCACTCTGAAGATGCCGGTCACAGGTGCTGGCGAAACGTTAGGAAACAAGACTTCAAGACCCCGGCCACACAGCCCGGAAGCCCCCCACCAGCCATCGTATGCCGGCCGTGAAAGCCTTCGACAATACATACTACACAACTGATTTTACTGCCTGCTTTGGCCAATTGGATTAGGGACAAATTTTTTCAGTGACCCAGTTTTACCTGTACAAGCGTTTGGCTTGAACAGGCACAGCCAGAGCCCTGTCAGGTCCCTTGTTTGGGTAGAAGCAACTCAAAAAGGCCCAGAGGAAGCTGAGATCTTTTGGACTTGGGATAATTACTCCCAAATAGTGCTTTAATAGGTTACTCTGTTAAGGAAACTTGATAGTATTATTCCATAGCTAAGCCAATTTGTAAGGCACAGGGATGTGATCTGTGTCTCTATACAGCTAGCAGCAAGTCATGAATACAGCTGCAATGGAGGTAGGACCATTGAAAGATACATTCAGAAAGATACACCAACCTGCGACCAATGGCCCTTTCCAAAGCTCCAGTGGAGCTCACTTCAAATTAATAATGAAATGTATCTCTTTGGAGGTTTATGTTATGGAGAACAGAAATCTTTCCCCTCTCTCCCAAAGTCATAAAGTAAAAGAATGATGAAAAAGGAAGGAAGTTTTAGGGACTTGGCTCCTAGTGTCACTGTCCTGTGGCAAGCTCCTCTCTTGAAACTCCAGGAGAAAAAGGTCTACAGATTGGCACTAAAACAGTACCTGAGACTTGCAGCCAACCAAGATATCCTCTGACAATAGCAAATGCTGGCTGGCAGGCTACTCCTTGGCAGGTAGAGTGGTAGGCAGAGTGCCCCCCAGTCTTGGTGAGTTAGCACTAGGTCTACCAGATCTGAGCTGCAAAACTATGATTGACCACTAGAAGGCAGCACATTGTAACCTTTGCTACTTTCTAGTGGCCATGATCTAGATTTTTGCAGCCTGGGTTGGGTTGGCCTAGTTAGAACAGTTTTGGGTTTGATAATGAGTACCTGTGCGTG